ATGTCCGATTGGGGTGAATATCTTCGACTTCCATAAATGGTAATCACTTATCCTGCTTTACCTTCACCCCCTATTTTTCGGCTATTTGAAGAAAGTAAAACTTGTCTAAAAAAGCCCCGGAAAATGTCTATTTTTGGGTGTTAAGACCACGATAGTGTGGTCGCAGGAGAAAATTGGCCAAGGAATGGACTTAACTTGTATCTGACGAGTTGTATTTTAGTGCTGAGAATGACAAGACTGATTGCTATTGTCTGTTACAATGTGTCTCGTATTGCACCAAGCCGACTGTCCGACGCTTGACATTGTCTTGACTACTATGATAGAAGACAATGGACGGGATGCATTCTTCGAAGTCTGCCTGACAGCATGATAAAGTTAGGAAAGAGAGGTCAAACCACAAATGAGTTTGCGACTCAAACTGAGGCGAATAAAAGTTGGTATGGAGAGCAAGATGGTGCGGCCTTTGGTTTGGTCGCCATCTTCTTAAGATGTCTGGTATTGACCTCGTTTTGCAATTTGATCGAAGCGACAGAAAGACCTTGTAGAATGTTCTTAAGCTGGCGTAACCTGTTGAGCTTACTTTTATTTCGAGGGAAAGTGTTGGGTGAAGAGATTCGAAGGTCAGTTCCACCAGAAGACGACGGCGGATTCCTCTTGACCAGCTGTCGATTGGCTTTACTGGTCGGAGGTCGGTTCCACCAGAAGACGACGGCGGATTCCTCTTGACCAGCTGTCGATTGGCTTTACTGGAAGATTTGTGCTGACGCTGTTTCTGAGGCAATCTCCTTCGATTCTGGTGAAAACGTGCTAAGCTTTCGTCCGTCATCCGGTGACGCTATTTCCGAGATAATCTCCTTCGATTCAGGTGAAAAGGTGCTAAGCTTTCGTCCATCATATGGCGAAAATCATCAGAGCAAGGCGGTTCCACCAGAAGACGACGGCGGATTCCTCTTGACCAGCTGTCGATTGGCTTTACTGGAAGATTCATGTGGGTGAAGAGATTCGAAGTTCGATTCCACCAGAAGACGACGGCGGATTCCTCTTGACCAGCTGTCGATTGGCTTTACTGGAAGATTCATGCTACTGTTTCCGAGGCAATCTTCGATTCCGCTGGAAAGGTGCTAAGCCTGCGTCCGTCATATGACGGACATCATCAGAGCGAGATAACATCGTCACAACAAAATTCAAGCTAACGAGTTTTCTTGAATCAAAGGAGATTGCCTCGGAAACAACGTCAGCATGAATGTTTTAGTAAAGCCAATCGACAGCTGGTCAAGAGGAATCCGCCGTCGTCTTCTGGTGGAACCGAGCTTCGAATCTCTTCACCCAACACTTTCACTCGAAAGGGAAGTTAGCTCAACAATTATGAAACAAGAGCTTCTTCGAAACCTAACTTTTCTTTGCATAACCTGCTCTTGAGAATTCATGATAATTTTCAGCATCAGAACATTGACTTGATTCATTTCCAAATAAAGTTGGGCTTCAAGAAATCTTTTGGTTCATAATTGTTAAGTTCACTTCCATTTAGAATTAAAGTTTGTGATGAAAATATTCGAGAGTACAGCCCACCACAAGGCGAATGTGGATTCTTGGTTGGCTTTACTGCAACATTCTTACTGTTGCCATTCCCAGACAAGACTTTCTATACGTCTTTGTCCTCTCTCATTCTCACAAAACACTCATCAACTTAACCAGGCATGTGCCCGAACTTACGTAATCGGACTGGTGGCTAAAATTAAAAAAACCTGATGACCGAGGGCAGGTGTTATGCTCTGTTCCAATTACTTTGAGCTATCACTTCTGGTTTCACACATCTACGTAAAAATTTAGGCACATAAG